TTTTTTTTTTTTTTTTTAATGGAGGCTACAATATATATAGGCATGATTGATTAAATCTTTGGCCATTGGTAAATGAATTCAATTTCCTGCTGGGGTGTTGAACTGAAAATTCCAACCCTCTAATCATGTGGTTGGTTCCCCTGGCAAAAGCCCCTAATGGGGCTTTCCAAAAGTCACTTTATTAACATAAACTCAAGTGTGGTTGTATGGGAGAGAAGAAACTTCCCTCTATTCTCTTAACTAACTTCTTCCAGCTGGTCTAATAATCAAATAGACATGAGACAGATTAATAAGAGGAAAAATGACCAAATTTAATTACACATGTAGATATGGAAACCCCATACACATGAAGTATGTATGACATTCTGAGCTAAGAATGAGGCAAAGCACCTTGGGGTTTCAGAGACAGGAAGGTCATTCATTCTCAAGAGAATAAGAAGAGTGGATGTTCAGTAATTAGAACTTTCCCTCACCCTATGGATAGGTCATAAAAAGTTATTTCTGATGATGACTCTTATTATGGGCAAAGGCCTTAATTTAAATTCTTTAAGGAAGAGGTAAAGATTATTGTGAACCCTCATCCTCTTGATTGCCTTCAGCTCAAAATAATTCACATGCCAAAGTGGCACATCTTGAAGAAGCCTGTTCTGAACTCCTTTAGCTGAAAGGGGTTTGTTATGAATACAAAAGATGCCCCTTTCACCTTTGTTCCTCTGGAGCTATTTCAAGAAGTGAGGACAAAACCAAATATTATAACAAAATATTGCTCTTATTTTAGGAAATTACAAGGGATTGAGGAACTCTGTGCCAGGAACCAGGGATGAAGACCAAACATGTGTTTCTTATTATATCACAATAAAATGTATCATATAAGGAAAGGGTGTCTTGGGCACACTGGCCAAAGCTGTTACATGCAATAGTAGAGAGAAGCAAAAGGAGGGATCTGAAGAAGACAGTGAAAATACAAGGGGAAAGAATTGGAAAAGATACAAGAGACTCTTCTTTCTCATGCAGAGATTTAAAAAAATTTTTTTTTTTTTAGAAGAGCCCTTTTCTTTGGAGGATTTGTATTTCTTTTGATAAGGAATGCCATTTTTTACTGTAGAGACACACTGTAAAATCATGGCCTTTGCTTATAAGGGGACTCTCTTGCTCCTTCACTTTCCCATTGTTTTTTAATATTAGGTGTTGAAGAGTAGCAGAATATCCCACCCCAAAATATGCCACTTCAGCATAAGGATTATTTTGAATTGAAGGCAATTGAGAAGCAGGATACAAGAAAAGCTCTCTGTTCTCCTCTATTTGCCTAAAAGCAGGGCATCAGTTTGTAAAGGTGTCCCCTCTCCCCTCTCTACCAGTTAGAACTCTAGATCCTTTTCAGCCCAGAGAAAGCACCAGAGGAATCCATCCTACAAATTTTACTAACTAAACCTTACTTTTCATTAGTTCTCTTATAGATTTACTCACAATTTGCTGTTCTACAAATTCAAAGTCCTTTTCCTTTCTCTTTCCTTTCCCTAAAAATTCATTGCTTTTTTTTGTTAAGGTGCTCTATGAGCCCAAGTTCTAACCACCCTTTAGAGTTACTCATAACTGAGTGTTCTCATGTATATGTGCAATGCACATTAATAAACTTTTTTTCTCTTGTTAAATTGTCTTTTGTCAGTCTAATTTACAGGGCAATGAACCTAAGATGGGTAGAGAGAAAGCAGTTTTTCCCCTTGTTAAAAGATAAACTGAGGCATATTAAAAATTTTAAGTTTATTTGAGTGAAAACTGATTCCAGTCAGGCAGCATCCAATCTAGCAGACAGAAAGGAGCTCTGGGGACCTGTACAAAATAAAGGACTTTTTTAGCCAGAAGGGAGCGGTAACAAGGAATTTATATCAGAAAAAAAAAAAAAAAAAAAAAAGTAAAAAAAAAAAGTGGGTTGTTTATTACAAGCTTACTTTCCTTTAAGGGAGGGCAGAGGTCCTTTGGCAGATTACCTAATTAGTGCTGATCAGGTGATTCCTGATTGATAGGTTTAAAGTTCCACTTCTGGGAGAACTGAAACTGTAATTAAGTTAAATCTGTTTGGTGATGTAGGATTTAGCACAAGCAACTCCATTTTGGGCATGTTATCTTGTTTATAACACTGTCCAACAGCATTTTACTAATAAAACTCCTAAGGTCTATTCTGACTTGAGCTTCAACTTATAAACTTGATTTGCCCTTTGAGAGCCACCTGAGTTGCAGTTGTTCCAGTGCCATCTTTTGCATGCCCCAAATATTGGGGCTCTGTGGTTTGGCCAACTTTTATTTATTTATTTTTTTTAATTTATTGACTTGAGAGAGAGAGAGAGGGAGAGAGAGAGAGAAACACATCAATTTGTTGTCCCAGTTATTCACGCATTCATTGGTTGCTTCTTGTATGTGCCCTGACTGGGATTGAACCAGCAACCCTAGCATATCAGGATGATGCTCTGACCAATCAAGTTACCCAGCCAGGGCTCCTTGGCCAACTTTTAATTATTCAGAGAAACAAGAGAAGCAGACATAGTTACCAAGATTAATAATAATAACAGCAAATATTTACTGTACATTCACTGTGTTTTCAGTACTATGCTAGATGTTTAATGCTTAACATCTAATTTACTCATCACATTATAATGACCTAGGTATTGTTATTTCCATTTTATAGAAAAGGAAAATGAGGCCGTTAGACTAACGTGTCCTAGATTAGATCACTACTGAACAGCAGAATCAAGGCTCAAATTCAGGGGTGTCTGACCCTAGAGGCTGCACTCTTATCCACTACAGTGGACATGAATTTTTACATATATTACCATTCTAATTTAAACAATTGAAATTATTTAAATTATTGAAACACTAGTATTAGTAATTTTCTATTGATAGGTTAATCAAAAACGTTTCAATGATTATAGAATCACAATGAAACATTTGCTTGCTGATTTAAGTAGTCCACAAAAGCTTTTAGTTTATTCTATTGGCGTTTGACTTTGCAGGTCTCAGAAAAGGATGCATTCTGTAGGCGAATTTGATGTTTTTCATCTCTTCTTTCCCCTTTTGGGATTTCCTGTGGAGATGCTAATGATAATAGTTAATATGGATCAAAGTCACACAAAACATAGGGGAGAAAAAGCTGGAAGTAGCCTGGCCGATGGAATAGAACCTACCTGAGGATTCTACTCTTGAATGATTAAAAAGCATCAGCCAGGCCTTTAAAGTTTGAGGTAATACTGGTGAGGAAGCTATCCTCCTACTTGCTGATGAGGCAGGGAGAAAGGTTCAACTTGTTAGAGAAACTTATGCTTTTTGCCTCCTCCCCGGAAACATCAGAGAGTTTAAGCTGAACTTAAATTCATATAGCAGTGCATACCCGGCTAGGAGTGGCTCAGTGGTTAAGCGTGGACCCAGGATCCAGAAGATCCAGGTTGGATTCCCTGTTGGGGCACATGCCTGGGTTGCAGCTTGATCCCCAGTCTGGGGCGTGCAGGAGGCAGCCCATCAATGACTCTCATCATTGATGTTTCTCTCTCTCTCTCCCTCTTCCTTCCTCTCTCTGAAATCAATAAAGATATATTTAAAAAAATTCATACAGAAGTGCAAATTTCTGTGGGTGTAAAATATATCTCCTTAAATAGATTGTAAAGCTTTCTGAGGACATGGATTATTTTTCTTCTTTCTAGAACCTAAGCAAGGCTTTGCCCACCACTGACAGTACATTAGTTGATGCTTATAGGTTTTCCGGTCTAAACACAAATAAAAAAAGAAAATGAAGGAACGTTGCCATTCACTTGTTATAGTTATTTTGCCTGAGTGCCTAGGATAGCTCAAAGTTATTAATAAGCTGAAAAATTACCTGCTTATGTGTTACTTGCAGCTGAAAGGTGAGATGAACTGTCTGGAAGGTCAAATTCATGCAAAATCAAACGGGCAGCGGAAGCCAGAAATTAAAGTGAACCTTATTTTGTAAAAAAAAGGCAAAACGCTAAATATAGTTAATCCCTCTTGTTAAAATATAAAACCTCAAACCTTCAGTTTCCTCTGCAAAATGCGCTGGAGTGGGTAGGGGCTGAATCAGGCAATGCTCTTGCGATAACATCCTGGGATATTTTACCGGGTTCAAGACGCCAGCTTGGGAGAAGGCTGCTAAGCTTCGTTTACTTTATGCACTTTAATCAACTGTTTTTCTCCCACCCCCCACCTCGCCTCATTCTCCCCTCCTCTCCCTTCATTCTTTCCCATCACCCGCTCTTTTGCGACTGTGATTCCCCAGGAGGGTCCCTACAACTTAGACAATGTGGGACCCGAGGAGGTGCCCGATAAATGTTTCCTTAGGGAATACCTGCGGGCTTAGGTTCTACCGCGCGCACTCATAAGCACCCCCAGGGCCAGATCTCGAGCCCAGTTCAGGGCTCTGGAGAGGTCAAGCTCACTGTCTCCTGCTCGCCGCACCTCCCTCCCCCAATAACCGCTTCCAAACTGGTGTCCGAGCAGTGATCCGCCTCAGTGGTTTTCACTGCTGGTGAACTAACCTGACTTGCTCTAACGATCTGGGAAAGGCATATGCAGCAGAGCCCTTAACAGAGTCAGGTCCGAGCTGGTACTGAACCTGGGGAGCGCCAGACATTGACTCGAAACAGAACCAGTTAATCTTGGAGACTCCGGTGGACCAAGGCGAGCCGGAACCCCAGTATAACTACGTGGTCCGCGTAAAACCTCTCCTCTACTTCCTTCCACAGTATCTTGTTGCCAAAGCAACTGCGAGCGTCACTAACGTGACTGAAGAACTAGGACGACGAGAGTACACGTCGCCCGCCCAGACAAGAAATCCTTTGCGCAGGCGCATTCGCTTTTATTGACTGTAGTTCTCATTTGTCGACGTATTCTGCGTCTGCGCATTGGTCGTTTCGCGCTTTGGCCCGCCTCTACGCCTGCGCAAATTGGCCAATTGGGGAGGGAGGAGCTGGGTTACGGCGGTGCGCACGCGCGAACTCTACATCCGGTGTGGTGGCGGCGTCCAGTTCGACTCTGCGGAGTGCAGGCCGGCGTAACGATCTTGTAGCCATGTCTGCCTCAGTGGTGTCGGTGATTTCTCGGTTCTTAGAAGAGTACTTGAGCACCACTCCTCAGCGTCTGAAGTTGCTGGACGCGTACCTCCTGTACATATTGCTGACCGGGGCGCTGCAGTTCGGTTATTGTCTCCTCGTGGGGACCTTCCCCTTCAACTCGTTCCTCTCGGGCTTCATCTCCTGTGTGGGGAGCTTCATCCTAGCGGGTAATGATTCTATAAGTAATCGCAGTAATAATGTGTTACTTTGGTGCACTGCTTTTATTTTCACCGTACTCTTTTTTTTTTTTATATCAGACCACCGCCTCGTGAAGTTATGAGAGAAGCCTGCATTACCCACTTTTTGTTAATTGGGAAACTGAGGTCAGAGAGGTTGTCACATACTAAATACCAAACAACCGCCTAGTAGCTGGAATTAAATCTGTAAAGAAACTATCTACATGCTGCTGCTCAGCCTGGTGATCCACTTCATTTTGGTCCAGGGAAAACTCGATTCCAGTTTTCACTTAACTTTAACACCCTCTTAAAGTTGGTAGAGTTTTAAAATAGAAGCGTCTCTCTCGCCTTGGCCTAATCATTACCGACCTCAGGTGAAATGTTTCAATGAACAGTGTGAGAAATATAAGCATGGAAGCTTTGCTTGTTGAATCATCCTTTACTTGACTGGTGTTTAGCTGCTCCTACTTATTTCTTGTGGATAAGGATGTTATTTCACTATCCTGAACTCGGTTTTTATTCACATAGTCCTATTTTATTTATTTATTTAAACCAAGGAGTCATCCTTGACTTTTTTAAAAAAAGATTCTTTAATTGACTTTTACAGAGAGGAAGTAGGGGAGAGAGAGAGAGAGAAACATCGGTTGGCGAGCCCACAACCTGGGCATGTGCTCTGACCAGGAATAGAACTAGCAACCTTTCAGTGCATAGAATGATGTCTGTCCAGCTGAGCCACACTGGTCAGGCCATGTAGTTCTATTTTAGCTTTAATGAGAGTTGACTGTTCCCATAAATTTTTGCCAAAAACCTGACCTTCGATAGGCATTCAATGAATACTGAGTCCAGCCTCAGGTTAGGGAGTGTTAGCTAGGCCATTTTATAGATGGCCACCACACAGACCTTGCCAGTCACTGGTCTTTAAAAACATGCCC